CGTTGTAAATAGAGATATGGATTTACTTAATTTGACTAATGAAATAGCCTTTGATAGGGCCACGTGGAGAAGTAGGATTCATGTAACTACCCCGTTTAATGGGACTTAAGGCTTGGTTTGGTTTGGTTTGGTTCTCGAAATGGTAGAAGTAACACCGATTGAAAGATAAGTTGAGAGAGAATAGGTTAAGATAGTTTGGTCATTTACAATGAAGAAATGTAGATGCAACGGCAAGGAAGAGTGATATGATTTCTATAAATAAAATGTTGGAGGAAGGGGAGGACTTAAACTAACATGGGATATAGTCATAAAAAAAGATATGAACGTATTTAATTTATTTGAACTTGTAGCCATCGATAGGGCAAAATGGCAAAAAATGATTGACGTAGATTGGGAAACAATGCTTAGATTGGATTGGTTTGGAAGCAGGAAATGGAAACTGAAACTTCACCCAAAAATATTATGGAAAATGTGAAACATTAGGTGATGTAAAGATTGAATAGGTTGAATAAAAAAAAGAGTAAAGTTTGAATAGGATATTTGTAAGAAAAATTTATCAAGAAACTTAAAAATAGCAATGTAAATTATTTTTATATTTTTGTGATCAATTAAAATACTACTACTACTACCCAATATCTATGGAAACTTATTAGAGCAATCATATATTATTGTTGAAAAATAGTATTAGCAAGTATTCAAAGATGGTAAAAATTATGAAAAGTGCATTTTTAGAACATTTTTTTGAAAGAGTTTCTTGCAAGCTTATTCGCTATGTTCTTTTCAAATAACTAAATAAAGTATTCGGAATAATATGTGACTTGGAGTATCCGATATTTCAAAATTAAGTATCTGATGCTCCAAAATTAATGGAAAAATAATTAAGAAGTATCTAATACTTTTAATAAGTATCAGATATGTTTCCGCGAGTATCCAAAGAGTATTAGTATCCAATACATATATGATATGGATACGTTTCTCTTTTTGAAGTATCCACGCTTCATAGGATATAATATGGTGAGTGTTGGTGAATAAAGGTGTGATCGAAAGGTATATGCATGCAATAAAACGCATGGATAATGGGGTATCAACCACAATTAGATCACTTGTAGGAGAAACTAGTAAATTCTCAATCACTTGTATTGCATCATGGGCCAACTTTGAGTCCTTACCTATTTACCATGGTCATGGATGAATTAACTAAACACATTTAAGATGATAGTTCGCAGATGATATTGCTCTAGATGAAACTAAGGAAGAAATTTACATTGAACTACAAATATGGAGAGAAACACTCAAGTTAAAAGGGTTTAAAATTAGTAAAAATAAAAGTGAATATGCAGAGTGTGACTTAGCAACAATAGAAATAGAAATGATAGAGAAGCGAAGATCGAAAATCAGAAATAACAAAGTGAACTTTTTTGTTACCTAGGTTTGATTATTAATAAGGATGGTGAGGTTGAAAATGATGTGATTCATAGAATTAAAGTAGGCTGGCTCAAGTGTGGGAGTGCATTTGACATATTATGTGATTGACAAATTCTAACAAAATTGAAAGAAGAATTTTATAGAACAACTATAAGGCTAATGATGCTTTATGGGACAAATATTGGACAACTAAAATACATGTCCATAAAATGAGTGTAGTTGAGTTGAAGATGCTTAGATGGATGTGTGGTAAGACTAAGAATGATAGAATTAAATATATTCTTGAAATGGAGACCAACAGAGGTAGTAGTGAAGAGATGCGATGCTGTAACGGTAGATGGAAGTGTTAGGGTACGAGGTAGGCCTAGATTAACGTTAGCTAGCGTTGTAAATAGAAATATGAATTTACTTAATTTGACTAATGAAATGGCCTTTGATAGGGCCATGTGGAGAAGTAGGATTCATGTAACTACCCCGTTTAATGGGACTTAAGGCTTGGTTTGGTTTGGTTTGGTTCTCGAAATGGTAGAAGTAACACCGATTGAAAGATAAGTTGAGAGAGAATAGGTTAAGATAGTTTGGTCATTTACAATGAAGAAATGTAGATGCAACGGCAAGGAAGAGTGATATGATTTCTATAAATAAAATGTTAGGGGAAGGGGAGGACTTAAACTAACGTGGGATATAGTCTTAAAAAAAGATATAAATGTATTTACTCCCTTCGTCCCAAAATATTAGTCCCTTATTCCATTTTTCATTGTCCAAAAATGTAAGTCCCTTCTAAAAAATCAAGTACTCAAATACTATAAATTTTCTATTTTGCCCTTCTTTTAAATTCATTAATAATACAAAAAGTACAATCATGACAATTGATATTCCCAAAAAAATGTACTGTCAAAGGGTAATTTTGAAAAACTAATATTTTTAAAATGCAATAATTGTACTACAAAAAAAAAAGTTGGATTTCCCAAAAGGGACTATTATTTTGGGATGGAGGGAGTAATTTATTTGAACTTGTAGCCATCGATAGAGCAAAATGACAAAAAATGATTGATGTAGATTGGGAAACAATGCTTAGATTGGATTGGTTTGGAAGCGGGAAATGGAAATTGAAACTTCATGCATAATGGAAAATGTGAGACATTAGGTGATGTAAAGATTGAATAAAAAAAGAGTAAAGTTTGAATAGGATATTTGTAAGAAAAATTTATTAAGAAATTTAAAAACAGCAATGTAAATTATTTTTATATTTTCATGATCAATTAAAATACTGCTACTACTACTACTACCCAATATCTACAGTAACTTATTAGAGCAATCATATATTATTGTTGAAAAATAGTATTAGCAAGTATTCAAAGATGGTAAAAATTATGAAAAGTGCATTTTTAGAACATTTTTTTGAAAGAGTTTCTTGCAAGCTTATTCAAATTGAGTTGGAGTTTTTCCTTTCATATGTAAATTGTACTTGAATTCTTGGATTGTTTTGGAGATGTTTTCTAGAGGTTTTCCTTAAAATTTCATTAGAGTCCCGTGTCCGTTCCTGAAATGAGTTTACAGGGAAACAAGTTTCCTCTCTCAAGAGATTTCCTAGTCTCCCTTTATCCCTCTTTAATTTCTTTCTTTACCCTTGTATGTGGTTATTGCCGTCACTAGAAATATGTGTACAAAGAAAGTAAGAAGTTGTGGAGGTTTTTTGGACGAGAGAAAGCAAAAGATTATGGTAGCTGTGTTTATTACAGAATGTATGGTGGTGGCAGTAGTGTCTGGTTGAGTGAGAGAGTGGTGAAAGAGAGTGTTTAGTTGGGTTTCTGAGATTGTGGTTAAATTGGTATGGTAAGAGAGAATATTGAAATGGTCTGGTGGTGAGGCCGAACCCATCCCAACATCATTTAGGTTCAAAGCCAGTAACCCAGTGCTGACCTGCTTATGAAACTTAGTTTGGGATTCTATATTCAGATTGGCTTGTGATAATTTTTGGTGTTCCTTACCTTAGAAAGATGTATTCGAGTGAACTGTATAGGGATCATAAGGTTATCTATGCCTAAAATGATGAGGTATAAGTATTTATCCAAAATAAATAAAAATAAATAAATAAATAAAAATTGATGAGGTATAAGTAGCGGTGATAATGAAGTAGTCTGGTGGTGAGCCCACACCGTTCCCAATTTCATTTAGGTTCAAAGTGGGTAACTTGGTGTTGACTTGCTTATAAACTTTGTTCAACCTGATGCCATTTATTGCTGATGTGTTTGTTAGGCTAGCAGTTTCAGTCAATGCTAGCTCTAATGTTAGACACATGTTCTACTTTTAAGTAATTGTCGTGTTGATTTTGAGATTATGAGCTTTAATCTTGAAATTTTTATACTTTGTTCTATCTTGACTTTCAATTGAGATTATAAGTGATTTAAAGAATTGAGTTGAGGATACATCATCACCTGTCTGGACTGCAACATGATGGTTAAATGTAGGCATGCAATTGGACCGTCCCTTTCAATGTATGTTGCATTAATGACCACAAAATTATGTTTCGCTATCCTAATGAAGTCTGTATGATGGTTTTTATGGAGCATGGAGCATTAAATGAGATGTATGATGTGGAATTTGTAGCAAAATTGGATGTAGACACACACTAGGACATGACAATATGTAACAAGAAATATTTTGATGGAAGAGAAGTCTATGTTTTTAATAAATTTATCCAAATTTGTGCATTAGTAGTTGCACAAATTGGGAATTAAAGATTAACAAACAGTAAGTGTTTCTTTAAAACTGTTCCTACTTTCTTTATATTTTTATCTTTACAACAATATTCTTTTTTGTATATTAGAAGTGGGGTTCATGCTTGACTTGGCAAGGTAAATATTCAGTTTCTTTTGAAATATCTCGTGTTCTTGATATTTATTGGCTTGTATTGCCTGATGTGGTGTTAGTTTCAGAGCTCCTATGATCTACTGTTCATTCTTCATGGTTTGGTTTTGACCATGATATTGTAATCATAATAAAAATGAAATGAACAGAGTAGGTTTTTGGTTGGGAGGATTAATCTTGTTGAGGATGTTTCATGCAGACAATCTTTCTAAAAATGTCTATAAAGTACAATGGTACTCGTGTAAATTATACTATATATAGCATTGGTATTGACCTTTAATTCATGTTTCATTAGTTTGTTTTTGGCTGTTGCAGGTGTGATATCTCCGACCACTGGGAGGGGGTGACAAGAAATCAACAGGATTACTATTGAACATTCCATAGGACACCCAACAGAAAGAAGTTTTCAAAAAAAGAGGGAGAATTTCACCCAGGAATCAACCTGACATGCTGTGGCTGAGTTGGCATCCTCTCCATAGTTCACTGACTGGATTATTAAGCATGCTGACAGCAGATGATAATTCAGATAACACAATTGGAAGTGGCTCAGATTCCACAGATGAGAATCTTGTAGAAAGTGGCGATCGATTTGTTCAAATGGTAGCTGTGACCTTAGAGTAGGAAATTAGTTACTTGTAACAGTACAATGAGGTAGATGCTAGGAATGGTGCTCATTTAATTTTTCTTCTTCTTTGTTTTAGGTTTACTTTTAATGCATCGTATTATGTCATTAAGCAATTGTGGCAAATCTTTTGAAATCTTCTAATCATGTTATAGTGCGTGCTCTTTCTATGCCTCTTCCTACCAAATACTTCTGATGGTTGCATAAAAAGAGCATTGTCAAGTGTTTTACCTCTCTCATTCAGTTTAACTACTTATTCAGTCACCCAAAAAAAGGGCAACACACTCGTGCAGTTTCAACCTCCGTTTGCATTTGTTTATCTGTTTTAGTTTAAGTTGGTGCATATGTTATGTTTGCTTCTATCACAAATCTATAATGCTATGGCTAGTAGGCCTAGAAAGGTATCTTATCTATGAAGCTAGTTTTGGTAGATTTTAAGCATGGTTTCCATTCTCTCAGTGAATAATTTTGAGGGGTAATTACATTTTGGGAGATTTATCTGCATATCTTAATAGGCAGATTTATTGCCTAATAGGTCATGTGATAATGGCGTTTTATAAAAAAAAGCGTCACTAATTGTTAGTTTTTAACAACAATTTGAAAATTTTATCACAAAAAGTCGCTAATTGTTAGTTTTTTGTGATAGATTTAGAAAATTGTCACATAAAATGTCATTAATTGTTAGTTTTTAGCAGTAGATTTATACAATTGATCAAATTTATTCCAAAATTTAGTTTCGTTTGATTTTATTTGTTCATAGCAGCAATTGGTTCAAATCCTAGATTTTCCATAGATCTTTAACTTGTACAACTTAAAAACTAGTGTATAAACATGTAATTATGGATCAATCTCTACTAGGCACCTAGAAGGTGCACATGATGCACATTCATTTCAATTGTGACATAATGTGCCTAAAGGTACGATGTAATGTGCTTAAAATTATAACTTAAACATATTGAATCACACTACAAGTTATGACTCCCCAAGTAACTCATTGGGTCATTGGAGTTGTGACAGAATGAGATCATATCATATTTTGAGAACATTGTGTTATAATTTTGTACACATCTCATCATTATAATTAGAGAGGGTACAAATCGTGCACAATCTTTTGGGTTGCACATCATAGATTTTTCCTAAATGACAAGTTCTTTATATGAACTAGTGGTGGGTGTCATGTCGTGTTAGGTTGTATTTATGTTGTTTCATTTTGGGTTTGTCTCCGAAATATTTCAACACTAACTTAACCCATTTATTATGTCGTATTTTTTAGTCATGTCATTTTTGGTATTTGTCCAGTTCATGTCATATTAATGTGTTGTATCAAAAATTTTTTTTTTTTTGCCTTAATTAGTTAAAAAGACTCAATGTAGAGACCAATTATTGGATGATTTTTTTTTTTTTTTTAAAAAAAAGATTCAGTGTAGAGACCAATTATTGGATGAAATTATTCATAAAAATATTTGCTTTCAATTCATTTTTTTTTGGTGCTTAATTTACAAAATTACATCCTATTATTTTATATTTTTATTAGATTAAAATACTAGGAAAAAAAATTTATCTTCAATTAAGAAAAAAAAATATTAGCCTTAAAATTTCTATTTTACATACTTTTTAATCAATTAGATGGAGTTATATAAGCAATTCAAAAATGTCATGGTACCTTTTAGTAGAAATAACATTGAAATATGTAAATAATTATTTATTAAACAAGTTATCTATATCAATTTCGTGCTATATAAGTTTGGGTAAACTGCCAATAGGTCCTAATAGTTGGACTTAATTTCCATCAAGTCCTATTGAAAACAAGTCTTAGTAAAATTGTCGCTAAAAATAATTTATGACAATTTTTTATATATGTCGCTAAAAATTTACAATTAGTGACTTTTTTTTCATGATTTTTATTAATTGTCGCTAAAACTTATAATTAGTGATATTTTTTTATGACAATTTTTTCATAAGATCTATTAGACAATAAGTCCACTTATTAAGATCTACACGTAAGTACCCCTATAAGTTTAACACTAATTTAACCTGTTTAATACTCATATTATTTGATCGTGTTATATTTGTGTTTGTGTCGAAAGATTGATAAGTTAACTTGTTTGAACTCTTAGGTACCTATTATGGAATGCTGGAGTCAAATTTGTGGTCTATAGACTATATAAAATAGACGCAACTAACATGTCTACTACTATTGTGCTCTACAGGAGTTCTCTTATAGCATCTCCAATAGAGATGTTAAGTTTGTGTGTTAAGTGCTTAGTGCCTATTAATTTAGAGTGTAAATTGGTGTTCTCATGGATGTGTTAAAGAGTGTGCTAAAATGTGTGTTATGTGAGGGTAGAGTCCAATTGAATGAGTTAAATATATGGTGTATCAGTTGATAAAATTTCAAAAAATTCAGCTAGAAGGACAAAGAAAGAAGATAAATTACACCATTAATCTCTATAGTTTAAGCAAATTAATTTTCACTTAATCCCCATAGTCTTAATTTGAACATTTAAATCCCATACTTTTATTTTTGTGGCAATATTATCCGCTTGTCATGCCCCTTTTATTTTTTGGATAGAAAAACAACTCGTGCACAACTAAAGAGAGTAAAGTGGAATTCAAAAGAAACAATAGAGACCGTTGGTATAGTTTATTCAATTTCTTTTCTTGTGTTGAAATTGCTAAGAATCTCATGCGTGTTGCATGTGGTAGTTTTGCATATAAAGTTTCAACGGTGTGTAATAGAAGGATTAGATTGTAACAAAATTAGAAATATAAAGTTCAAATTGAAATTATGAGGACCAAACCAAAACTTTACTCATACTAGATAGACCAACGATATAATTTACCTTAAAAAAAAGTTATTCGGTGACTTGGCCAGCCAAAAGGCTATCATAGTTAACGAAAGTACACAGTGGCTGATAATGTTAAAGAGGAAGATAAATTGTCCACTAGGGTAGAAAAAAAAGGGAAAAGTTAAGGTAACTATTAACTTATGACACTAACTACCTTCTTAACACTTTCTAAGTTCCAAAATGTGAATATTTAGGAAAGGCAAAAGAAAAAAGACAAGAAAAATGAAAATGAATACAACTTAGATGTGCATATCATAAGTCAAATTGAAACATAGTTGATGGGAAATTACAGTTGAAACTAAGGCCAAGTTTGGCTACAAAGGAAAAAGTGCACTTATTTCATCTTTTTATCTTTTTTGGGTCACATCAATCAACATCTCCTCTCTACTTTTTCTGCACATAATACAAAAAAAGTCAAAAAGTACACTTATTTAGTCTTTCCAAACTAGGCCTAAGGCGCATAAAAGGCTACTAGTGAAGAGAGATGCATAACAAAAACAACAAATGAATTGTTAATCAACAAAAGAAATCGTCAAGAAGTGTGCTACTTCAAAGATCGCAATAAGGGCATAATCTGACCATTTTGATAGTATATTTTTTCCTTACTCCAAATGTGTTCCACGCCAATTTAATGATTGAGTAAATACAAGACTTAAGTTGTTTTGTACGAAGTTTGAGTGGCCTTATAACCAAAAAAAAAAAGTTCAAGTGGCCATTTTTTCTGTTTGCATCAGAAACTAACTTCCATTTATATTCTTATACATTATACACACAAACATATATAACAATATATTGTATTAATGAGTCAGAGTATATAGGATAAGATTGTTGCATCTCTATGAAACAAAAAAATTACAAATGTTTCCTCCACATGTTGTCGTTCATTGGAGATTACAAACCAATACTTGCATTGGCAAAAGAAGACACAGTGAGAGAATTGCGCTATAGCTTTACCTTGCATTGCAACCTTCAAATACATCTCCAATTTATTAGAATACACAATATGTTTACTACAAACAATTTATAATTGACTTTGCATGAGCTATCTTCTTCCAAACCTTCTTTGATCTCTTCCCATGTTGACACATTTTTACACCAAAAATCCTTACGAGCCATTCTTCTTTCCTTCGAATAATGCAATTTCCAATCAACAAACCAAGCAATACGCCACACCCATATCCCATCAACACAGCTTCCCAACCAAAGCCATCAAATTTGAACTTAAAATTGTGGCTAAATGAGGATGGTAAAGTTGGTGATTCTGCTATTTGGACATTCCCACAATTCTTTGACAATGGAAACCCGCATAAGCCTAGATTTCCCTCATATGAAGTGTTTGAAAATGTTTCAAACTGCCGGCCTCGTGGTATAATCCCAGTTAGATTATTTTGTGAAACATCAAAAACTTCAAGGAATGTCAAGCTTGTTAGTTGTTGAGGTATCTCACCAGAGAGTTTGTTTTGGGATAGACCCAAGGACTCAAGCTCAGTTAGATTCGACAAGGACAATGGAATCGGACCTGTGAAACCATTTCTTGAAAAATTTAGGACACGGAGGGCTTTGAGTATTCCAATAGATATGGGAATCTTTCCATCAAACTTGTTGTGCGAGAAATCAACAGCTTTGAAGATGGTGATGATCCTTACGAGTGTCATTTCCAGTCCTTTATTCATTATGGTTACTGAATAATAACCATAACCAACGCCCATATAATTTAAGGAGGATTTGTCTTCATAATCCATCATCATTGAATGCATGCTCTCAAAGTATTCTGATGGCAAAGTGCCTGTAAATTCATTATGAGACATGTCAATGATATGTAAATTGGTGAAGGCTAATCTCTTCCTTGGTTGCTCTATGGGACCATGGAATTTATTATCTCGCAAGACGATAATCTTCAATTGGGGCAGGTTCTCCAACCAAAATGGAAAAGCATCTTCTATGAAATTATGACCCAGATTCAAAATTTCTAGGTTCGTGCAATTTGCCAATGATCTTGGAAGCACCCCTTGCAATCCATTGTGGCTAATGTCAAGTTCCTGTAACATGCTTGCATATCCAAGTGTTTGAGGGATGCTACCATGGAAATTGTTTCTTTGCAAATTTAACCAGGTTAAATTTCCATTGAAGTTCCCCAAACAGGTAGGAATTAATCCGGTCAATTGGTTATTGGACAGATCGAGAGTTTTAAGAGAATGAAGATTGCAGAGTGGATTGAGTTCTTCATTTAGGTGGTTGTTCGAAAGGTCTAGCACCTCCAACAATTCCATTCGGGTTTTCAGAAATTCAGAAATTTTATTTATGTTGCAAGACGACAATCGTAATGTCCTAATGTTTCGGAAAGAGGAGGGAGTGGGGTTGGTGGTGGTCAATGATAGACCACTGTCTGAAAGATCCAAAGAATCCAAATATTCAAGCTTTGCAAACGAGTCCAGCTCAACAGTTTCGCTTAAATTATTTGACGAAAGATCAAGATAGGTAAGGTTCACAAGATGAAACAAGGAAGGAGGTATTGTCCCATTGATTGAGTTACTGCCTAAATATAGAGACTGTAGATTTGGAAGGCCAGTTATTGATGATGAAATGGGACCTGTTAGTTGATTGTTTGAGAAATCTATAGCACGAAGTTGTGAGAAGTTGGCAAGATGAAACAAGGAAGAAGGTATTGTCCCATTGATTGAGTTACTGCCTAAACCTAGATAGTGTAGATTTGGAAGGCCAGTTATTGATGATGAAATGGGACCTGTTAGTTGATTGTTTGAGAAATCTATAGATTGACGTTGCAAGAAGTTGGAAAAAAGTTGAGGAATTGGGCCTTCAAAATTGTTGTATGAAAGATCAAGCAGAGTTAATCGCGTGAGGTTTGTAAGCCATCTCGGAATCGTACCAGAGAAATTGCAGTCACCGAGGTGTAGCCGCTCCAAGTTTTTAAGATGGCCAATTGAAGATGGGAATTGACCATTGATCAATTTATTCCCTCGAAGTGCAAGCCAAATTAATCGCGTGAGGTTTCCAAGCGATGTCGGAATGGTACCGAAGAGATTACAGTCACTGAGGTGTAGCTCCTCCAAGTACACAAGTTGCCCGATGGAATTAGGTAGCTCTCCGGTCAAATCTATTTCAGAGAGATCCAACGACCCAAGGTGCCTAAGGTGCCGGAGAGTTCCATTAATAAAACTTGCAAGTTTACCTGTGAGTTCTCTGTTACCTTGTATTGGGCCAGAAAGATAGGAGACAGAGAGGTCAAGATGGGTCAAATTTGTGAAACGGCCAAATGAAGGTAAAATTTGAGAGTGATTGAAGTTGTTGTAAGAAAGGTCGAGGTGTTGAAGGTGAACAAGATTGAAAAGGCTGCTGTTTGGATGGATGGTACCATATAGGCACTTACAATTGAGGTCGAGGCCAGTGACATGAGCAGTGGTGTTATCACATGTGATCCCATCCCATGCACAACAATCTGTACCCTCTTTCCAATTATCAGTATATAGACCATTTCTGTAGCAATTGCAAGCAGAGCAATTAAATGAAAAGGATTGCTTAAATTGGAGCAAAGTAGTGCTCTCGTCATTATGGCAAAGATGTGCAGAAGAAGAAGAGAAGCAGAAAATTAGGGAATACAGGAGGATACATATTGTGAGTTGATAATTGGATAGTAAGAAACCCATTCTTACACCAGTATTGGGTGGTAGAGAGGGAATTGGATATGATGCTTCTTCTATATGCACTCTCCTATTTATAACTTAATAATAATTCAATAATCAAAAAATATAAACTGAAAATTGTCATTGTATAGTCTCACATATTACCATTGTATCAGTCTAATGGATTCCATCACTTGGTCAATTTTATTACTAATATAAAGATAAAATATAAGATGATAAACCACTTTTAGTAAATAAATGTAATTCAGCTTGTTTGGTTTGTGAATTCTAAATTCACTTTATAGAAAATTAAAATTTTTTGTTTTCCATGTTTTTTTTTTGTTTTCACTGAATTTTTTTTATATTTTAAATAATTTTTTTAATTTTTAGATATACCTAACATAAATACACTTAAAAAGTATAATGTTTGTGAAAAAAATCTTTAAAAAATATACT